ATATATATATATATATATATATAACAACGGAAAGATGCATAGCCAGGAACGGGTTCATGAGGAAAAATGGATGCCAAAAGAAGGCGACTGCAATGAAAGGAGTCAAGTCTAGAATCAGCTTCAAAAAGTAAACTGGGTGGATCCACCTGGTGAAATAGAGAAAAAGATGATTAAATTAGGAATATTACACCATTAGGAGTTTTAAGCTTGTGCCTTACGCGATTCCGAAGTAGAGTTGAAGCTGTCCATCTCCAACTAGCGATTTTAAACGAAGCCAGATGCCAGAGAGCGGGATGGGGTTGGGAAGAGTATAATTAGGTCGTGGGACTGTTAAGCCTAAGAAATCGATGTTTTTTAATTTCTTGAATATGACGTAAACGGAGACCGGAATTGAGGGCTTGTAGATAACCAGATAGACAGTGAGTCCCATGTGCAGCGAGGAACAGCTGACAAGTTGGATGGAGGGGGGGTTAAATTGAAGTGTTGATTATGCCCAAGAAGCCCCGCAAACGACATCTTGAACCTGTAGTGGTGATTAAGGTGCCATAAGTACTCTTATAGTGGCACGCTTTCAGGCAAAATTGTGGCAAGCAAAGGCACGTAAAGGTGCGAATATGCTAATTGGCCATGTGAAGTGGGGTTTATGAGTGGGGATACAGCGCTATAAGCTTGGACAGGGGTGATAGGAGGCCACAATGATTAAGCAGAGAATTTATCAATGATCAGTTAAGCAAACCTTCCAAATTCGCATGTTAGTTGAATATCAGACGATAGAGAAAGGAGATCTGCTGCAAGGTTCTGATGTACACTAATATCCCGGTAAAGGTGCAATGAAAGCCTTATAGTCAAAGCTTGAGACCATAAAAGGCAAAGATTCAGTCATCGGATTAATCAATTTGGCAATGAATAGTAAATGCTTCACCTTTAATGGCATGTATGGGCGATTGCATGGTTTGGCCACGGTATCTTATTTGGCCCATATTTTTGCTAACTATGCGGCTCAATTAGTAGTTGGTGTATTTCAGGAGGGAGTCTCAGTTCCGAAGTTATAAGTTAGATATGTGTATGATTAATTTGCTATTTGGCAACATGGCAAAGATGAATTGACAATCACAGGAGAGAAATAAAGAGAATAAACTGTCCTATCTGGATATATTAGTGAGCAAGGAAGGAAATAAGTTGGGTATGGAGACGTGCATAGGAAACACGTAAATGCGGGTTTCCTTGTTGATTTTTAATAAAATCATATAAAAAGGATCATTTCGTATTAATTCCTGCTCTGATGATGTCTGTCACAATATAAACGAAAGTCTAGCGCAAGTTCAAAGTCACAGGGCGGTGAGCCGAGAATTTCTCTCAAGTGGCTTCACTTCACGGCAGTCCCTCCTCGGAGACCGGTGAGACAATTTCACAAATTTCTTTTAACTAACTTTTCCTTTGAAATGGAGATCAATGTCAATACAATCATAAGAATCCCCCCAAGCCAGTTTTATCATAAATATATGGCATAATTGATCACTTTTAGGCCCATGAATAAAAATACTCGGCCTAAATTCGTGAAATATTTTATTTATGTTATCAGTTGAAAAATAAAAAGGTTGTATTAAACAAGTACTAAATAATCCTGCAAAGAAAGCAAATATCAGAAAATATCATATGTTCAAGATTAATAATTCCTTTGGCTAGAAGAAAAGAAAATCTTAATGGTTTGACCATTATTGAATAAATTTTCCAGCAGCACCGATCGAGTTTTGATGCCACACCAAGTAATAGAGCATTTTGAAACACGTTGAATTTCTTATCAGCATACCTATGATAATGATAGGTTAAGACAAATTCTTTCTGTAACTAAAAGATAACGGAATTTTAAAGAACTAGTGAAATTATGACTATTTAAAAATGACACATTTTATAGGTTATTAAAAAATGGTAATTTAAAATCAAATAATGAGACAAATATGTGATATCGAGTAAGAAAATGTGTAGAGTTGCCGAATAACCGAGCCTGCCATTATCAAAGCAATCTGATTTTTTTGTCACAAGAAGTATACACGTTATAAAACTCCATTGGCCCAAGACACATTCAAACAAAAAAGTTGTAGAGATACACAGCCCATCTAGAATATCCCAGAATGTCCAGATGTATCTAAGAAAAATGGTCAAATATGCCAGAGGAAAGGGTTCATTATATCTAGGGATTTAGCATTGCACTCTATGGAAATTCGAAAGCCTAAGCGAAATCCAATGGGGTCTGCTAAAATAGTACTTTAAAAAACCCAGATGACCGAATTATAAAAATTCTCCATTAGCCAGGAGTGAGTTAAACGAAAAATATACTATGAACTATTAATTCACACAGACACACCGGGTTCGTGTATACCTTTCTTATTTAATGCAAAATAAGCTATTTAAACTATCAAGGTTTGGACAAATCTCATATAGCTAGCAGTCGGTTAGCACATTAGGGTAAAACATCTTTAGAAATTCGTGAATAAGTAATACCCACATCTGCCACCTAATCAGAAGCATAATCAGCCACCTCACGCAGTAGTGCAATCTGGCTGTGGGCACTCTTTCGCTCGCGTCGGGCCTCAGCACGCCAATCAGTCTGGCGTCGATACCATGATACCCAAGAGCGAGTGGAACGGGAACTAAGAGAAGGTAATTGACTCTTCGTTTGAGATGGACTTTCCTGATTGAAAAAGCAGGATATATAGAAGTAACTAGAATATAAAAGTAAAACTAAGTCGTGACACTTTGAGCTTTAAGTTAAAAAAAAGAGGAATATAATAAGGATGATAAAATGGAAATGAACATATAGAAGCGAATTTAAAAGGTTACTTTAGCAAGATTACCGTTTTAGAGACAGTAGCCTTGATTTTTCTAATAAATTTAGGGCGATCTATGCCATAAATATGTGTAGGTTTTTTCACGCAAAATAGTCCAGGATGTATTTTAGAAGGTTTCTATCGAGGGAGAATAAAACATATGAGCATGTGTTGATAAGAAGAACGGCAAGATTAGACAGAGGAACATTATATAAGGTAGAAATAGTGAAACTAAAAATACACATTAAATACAAATAGAAAACCAGAAGAACTAAAATAATTCCATCTGGCTTTATGTTGAATATAGCTAAAAAAACGTTTTTGGTAATATTTACATTATTTGAGCCAGATGGATACTCATAGCTGCAAAATAAACCATTTTGAATTATAACAGGGCCAAAAAGCCTAGAATTAACCGGTATAAACACAGTGAAACAATACCACGCAAAAGATTTAGGCCCAGAACGCGAAAGCAAGGAGAGCATACTAGGAGAATTGATTTATACATACGAATACAGCAAGGGTTATAACGAGATTTATTAAATATAACTATTTCAAATAGATAAATTATTTTTAACGTACATGCATTTAAATTTAATTACTTAATGCTTGCTCGCATTGAGTTCGCTTACCTAAATTCTACATATCTAGATGCACAGTACCAAAATTGATTCTAGCACATACCTGTAAATGTAGGAATTTTAAGTCATAAATTAATATTAATAAATCTAAGATCCTATAAATATATCATAACCTAGCAAAATTATATGTGGTTCTCCTCAGAAAAATTGTTTGGGACATTGATGCTGCCATGCGAATGACGAGGCAAATGGAAAGGATTCAGAAAGTTGACTCACCAGAAACCTAAGACGAGTTTCCTTTGATCTGTGACTGCAGATTTGTTTGAACAAGTCTATAGCTCACTCTTTTGTTTGATATTTGTACTTCACAGCTAAGCGAACGATCAGGGAGTCGGTAGAGATCAATAAAATAGAGAACTTTTTGCATAAGCGGAATGAAATATAAAAAATTAGGCAAAGAATATCTCTTAATGTAAAGTGCCTACAGTGACTGAATCGAGTAATTTAGATTAGTAAGATCAGAAACAAATATCCGGGGTAATGAGAAAGATTTAGATAGAAGTTCCAAAACGAATCTTCAATCTGGCAAATCGAAAGGGATGGAGGCGCAAGATATACATACAAGTGTGCTGACACCCGAGTAAACTCGCCAAAAAAAGCACGCTTCTAGAGGAGTCAATTATAACAAAGTCAGAATAGGGAGTATATAGAGGTACCGGGACAAAAGGAGTAATAAGCCAACCGTTCAGCAGAAATTTGGTTAAGGGCTTCACTTCACCTGTCTCTTTGATGAGTTGTAGTTTGTTGCTAAGACTAGCAGGACCCAATGACGATGTCGGAAAAAATATTTGGTAATGTAACAAGTACTTGTTTCAACACTGGGAATTATCATAACTGTTCTTTCTTACTTAACCCTAACATATTTTAGTTAATAGCTACATGGCCCAATTAGAGGTGCGTGTGTTTCAAGAGGCGATTCTAGCTCCAAAGCTATTAGAGAGACATTTGAACGATTAATTTGCTGTTTGTCAGCACTACACATATAGCCTATGTGAATTCCTAGAGTTAATAAATAGAAAAAATGTGAACAGTAAATTGACATATCTGGATATAATAGTGAGCATGGCAGGTAATAAGTTGGGCAGAGGCGTGTATAAGAAACCAATACACGCAGGTTTCCTTATTAATTTTTTCTTTAATTATAGATATAGAGTTAAAATAGGAGTTATATTATCAATGCTGAAAGCCGACTGTATCTTGCAGAGGTAAACCACCGGGAACAGTCGATTGGTATATTGAGGCATATATGGTTTCAAAACAATTCCCCATTAGGATTATTTGATAATCAAATTTCAATTGTTAGCACCTAGGTAAGAAGGGTTGTTATTTGTGGAGGGATAGAAAGATGGACCACACTACTGGGTTTCTGATTCTGCCTTCTTGTCAGCTTGCGAAAACGTTGGGTGACATACTGAAGAAGTGGAACATCAGAAAAATGTATAAAGAGCAATTAATATTTTTTAAGTAGTTCTTTCGTTCATAGATTTTTCTAACCCTCTTTATACATAAGGCTGTTACAAGCTTTCGTGCTCAACTGGTAATTTTAATGTGCAAAAGATCTACCAACCCATCCAGAAAGGATTATATGAACCTATGAGTTCAAGATACATGGCAAGTACACCACCCTCCATAGATTGGCACAAATCACAACGTTTTGCTGGTTACAGGGACCTCACATGGCAAGTACACCACCCTCCATAGATTGGTACAAATCACAACGTTTTGCTGGTTATGGGGACCTCACATCAAAGTATAAGATTAGGGAGTATATAGAAATTAACAAAACAGCTAACGTCCTGAATACAATGAACAAATGTAGGAAACTGTGTAGTAACTATCTGTGACGGTTGGATAGGCTTCGAGAGACAGTGAGAAAGAGAGAGCAGGAAGAGCTACTGAGAAACAGAAGGAGCCGGCTACCCTTCCCTTTTATTAAGTATATATTTGCCCTTTTTCGTAAAGTATGGATTCTTGCTCTGATGATGTTTGTCACAGTACAGACAAAGGCTTAGCATAGTTTCATTGAGGTTACAGGACTGTGAGCTGAGGGCTACTTGGAACAATAAAACAGTTTCTACCACGCGGTAATCCTCATTCGGTTCCTGGTGAAACTATTTCGCGAATTCTTTCCAACCAACTTTTCCCTTAAAATCAAAATTCATGTCACATTTTATTATATACTTCTAGTTATGTTCTGTATTCTGCATTAAGCTAAGTAGACGTTTAAATTGGATTACTGACAATTTCGATTTTCAACTTTGATTTTCAATTTCGATTTATCCATTCTTCTGCTTTCTTCACCATTTGTTTTAAATTGAAATCGAGTATCCTTACATGGTAGCAGCTGGAAATCGGTCACAGCAACCTGAACTCATGTAGAGCACAACCTCAGGGCCATGGTTCATCGGCTTATAATAGCAAATAATGAACATTTTGTGATCAGATGTTATTGTTAAAAATGAATCAAAATTCAGTTTAAAGTTTCTCCATGAATCCGCTCTGATATTTATGCTTTACTCATACTTAGGGCGAAATATAATAAGCTTTAGGATGATCGCAAAAGCTGACGAAATAAATTTCAATGCATTCAAGGGTATCAACGAAATAGTAAAGAACCCAGTAATATTCAATGAATATGCTTCTGTTCAAATTTCATTTAATGAAAATCTTGCATTAAACATGCTTGCCCATTACAAATTTTAGTACAGATGATATTTGTAGCAATTGGAAAGCAGTTAGAAAATTAAGAGCTAATGAGTTTTGTAGCTATTGGATAATGCTTAATCTTAAGCCTCACAAAAAGAACAGTGATAAGCTCGACGAAATTATCCTGCAGACTAGATCTATACCCAATAAGATCCCCACAGAGAAAAAATATGGAAAACTCCCATAGTTTGCCCACATTGAAACATCTTAAATGTTTGAATATTTAATACTACGAGAAAGAACCCCAAAATATGGAAGAATTTATCTCTCACATTTTGACTAAAACATAAAATAACGGTTGAGAAGCTTCGAAGTAATAAAGTTAAATGATCTTGGCTTTTGGTAGGCAACAGTTTTATCTGATACCTATAGCGACTAAAAAAATATAAGAATTTTAGCTTTTAGTGTTGTGCTCCGATCAGTCTTCAAACTTATAGAAATCAGCCACTTTAAAAGTCCCTTCTGGCTTCTTACCAAGCCTATCGGTCCACATCTCATAGGTCACTCCATTTGGGTTCGCAAACTGGATTCATGAGAACAACTTATGTAACTTAAGCCTGTCTGGTCCAGTTTGGTTAAATCTATATTCTATAATAATCAATCTCTTGCATTATGACTTTGAAATGTAATACCTGGAACATATTTATCAAATCCTCCGTTTTCTTGACCTTTTATATTTTACCATTGTAACTATCATTTTCAACTTTTTTTATTAACAAACTTCACTATGCATATAATTAAACACAAGCCATGCCGAAACAGATGTTCGCTTAGCCTTTCGATATTGCGTTGTTCCCCTCAATACGCTTAGCAGTATGTGAAAGTGAGTGTTGCTTGCCAAACAGCCACGAATTACCATTTATCCACATCATCCACATATCACCTAGGTACCAGCAGATTTGAACATTTGAGCTCAACCTTCATGAGTGATTATGTGAGCTTCCATAATAACTTATTATAATATTGTCATATGGAAACGTATAAAATATGTCTAGTGAATTCAATACTTATTCGGGACGAAGAATTCAGTAATGATAAATTAAAGGGTAAGAATGAAACCTCGGGAATCTTCACTTTAAGAGGTTCAAAAGTGACTTAGCCCAAAACATATATAAGCACAATACTGTATCTTTTACTCTCGAGCTATCTTCTGCCCTCCGAGACATGATTAATCAACTAAGTAGACGTAGACAGCCTCTAAACCTTTACACACCAGGCCTTTTCTCACCAGGCTTCGACTCTTGAATAACAGACTTACACCCTTAATACGCAGATTTGACTAATGCAGTCCTCTGACCAAGTACCTTGTTGCAACACGTAAATGAATTTAGAAACAGAGTAGTCAGACTCAGCATCATGAGCCCAAGTCAGGTGAATCGTCCGAAAAAGAAGAACAAAATAACAAACGTTTAAATCGAACAAATTATTTAGTAATAGCTCTTAGCTGAATCGATCTCCGTAAGACGACGGTTGATGCGCCGCTTCTGTGCCTTTATTCACGAGCTAACTCAGCTCCAAATTTGCGCTTCTACAGCTCTACCAAGCGTCAGATACTAGTCCAGGCGTTGGAGCCTCTGAGACTCACGAGGCCAACAAATAAGCGGCGGACCCCTACTAAGCCAACGCTTACAACCAGAGCTTCCTTGGGAATATGGTCAACTAGAGCGCCACTTCGCAGCATTTTCACGCCTCACATTTTCACACACTGTACCTGCGTCGTGTCCGGGACCAATGAAATCCAACAGCTTTATACTTAAATTTGCATCTACAGGGCCATTTGCGAATTTGACTTTGCATACGGAAATGATACGAAAACAGCCTTTGTGCATTGTGCCTCTAGGCACAACATCGTTTCAGCTACAAAGTTTCAACCTTTCTTTGATCTACTCTTGTGACATAGCAAACTTCATTAGACATTGGTCTTCTTGTGCTCCAGGTACCCAACCCTATTGAGTTTCTGCATTAGCTTAAATGAGAATTTTTTTAACCTATGTCTTAGCATTTTGCCCTAAGTTTTTTATGAGCTAGCTTGAGTAATATAATATAAGTATTTGAAGGTATGAAGAGCAAGATGGTGTGGTCTTTTGTGTGTTCGCATTCTCCTTTCGTTGTATTAAAGTTGTTTGACCTTGTTTTGCAACTTGCTCATATTGACAGG